AATACCATCCAGAGGTAGAAAAATATCATACATTCATAGTACAAGCAGAAACAAACAGAGATCATATAGCTTTTGTTTACAAATTTTAGCCATATGAGTGTGATAGGGCAAATATCACTCATTTATAAAAGAGCAGTTGGATCCAAATTGTGTTTGTGACAAATGGAATAAGTTCAGGTTACCTGCTCTGATGGTTAAAGCTTTTTAATAATATTGTGGTGAAGACATTTAATGATTTTTCATTTCCCTATGTTCCAAATAGCCTTTCCTTTTTGTTTTTTCCCACTGATAAGAATTACCTTCTTGAGGTGTGTATTTCAAAGAGATGGTCTAGATAAAAGTTCCTGAAGACTGGGTAGAATATTTTTATCTCAAAGGCACAGTGAAAGAATACAAGTTCCTCCAAGGAGCACATTTGTTTCCAAAGGCCAGAATTTGTACGATACTTTCAGGCCTTTTAAGATGAATAGGTGAGGATTTTGGATTGGTGAAATGGAAAGTTGGACTTTGAATTGTTTCTAGAGCTGCATTTCTGGTTTTGCAAAGATTTGTAAGATGAGGACAGTTGCTTATTTGATTCCTCAAAGGACTGGATTGCAGCCTAAATAACATCAAGAAGCTGAACCACTCTTCCAGTTACATTACCCTCAGTTTGCTCCTTTATTATCAGCGAGATCTTCAGCTAAGATGGAAATCAAAAGATTTCTGTGTTCTAGATTTAGAGGTTTGTCTTCGGATTATGTTTCTTTTATTCTGGGTATGGTTAGCTTAGGGGAGGAGGAATAGAAAAAAGTTTCTATCAGGCTCTGAATATCAGCTCCCAAATTTGGCAAATTCTGACCAGAGAGCTGCTTCCAAGTATCTTGTCATCTTCAGTGTGGTCCAGTAGCAAATATTCCTGGCATTACAGAATGACCCTATGGACCCAAGAGGTATCTCCAAAGAGGGTGCAGAAAATATCCTTCTGTGATCCAGAGCCATTCCCAGAGGTATCCATAAGAAAGAAAGACTTAGACATTCCCGCTTTGCTGTTTAAGCCAATAACATAGCAGTTTACCAGAAAATCTGAGTCCCATTAACCTGGGAGGGGCCCACACAGGGTACCTCCTTCAGAGGTAGCCAGGGAAGTGTCTGTAAGGCCACTGACTTGGCGAACTTTTGCTTATTGTCATGCAGTCTCTTCAGAGTGGAAAGACCATTGAGACAGAAGACTAATAGGATGAGGTGTCAAGTAAAGGAGGATGGAGAGGAGCAGGAGGAGTTGCGTCAGTCTTAAACTCTTTTGTTTTAGGTACTTTTTATATCTTTAACTTTTCATTAGCCTTTTGCAATGAATCTTTCAATGAAGCTATTTTAGAATTTTGAGGCCCTTTGGAGGCTTTGGCATGCCAGGTAACATCGGTTTCCCATTCACTTTGTCTGATTTGGAAACCCTTGCCTTCCAATACTACTTAAATGAACAATTTTGTCTAATTGGAATATTTGCCGTAATAGCTATTGTAATTCTAGGTTATCTTTAGTAAAATTTTGCCCTTTCTGAAGATATCTATAGCTTCTGAGACCACAGTTCTTAGACAAAATAAGCAGGTACACTGGAAGGGGGCATGCTCAACTCTTTGGAACTTTAGGATCCCATTTCTTTAGTTAAGCCTTGGGTCTCTCATGACCAAATTAATATGTAAGAGGGATGTGCTGCTGGGCTGGGGACTGTGTGGTGTATTACAGTGTACCATGTTGCAGAGAAATTTTCTTGAGGTTGGAGGGTGAGCTATGTCGATCTAACCTGTTCTGTGACCAGGTTATCCTAACATGGGAATATTAAAGTTAGGTGGTAAGTGCTCTCACGACTTTGAAGGTGCTTGACCCATGCCCACTAATTCTGTGGCTTTAGCTTCTGAGATTCCCTTTAGCAATAGCCTTTACCTCATGTACACATTAACAAAAACCAACAGTAACCTGGAAAGAGAAGGCCTTGTTTGTATCACCAGCAATTCCCGACATGTAGCTGAGCCTGGGGAAAGGAGTGGACCAGCAGATATCAGCATATAGGTACTATAGACTGATATTCCAATAAAATGGTAAACTGTGGACCGAACTACCAGCAGTTCCCAAGATGGAATCTGGGGACTGAATCAAGGGCAAGGAGCTTACATTCCTTTTGGAACCATCTGCTAGCTCACGCTGACCTGTGCTGGACTGGAAAGCCAATTAGATCAGGAGCTGGACATAAGGAGAGTGGACCTTAGAATTTAGAGGAACTGATGCATGGCCCTTGGAAACAGTGATAAAGAGAACTCAGAGTTAATGGGTTCAGGTCCTGTGCTTCTCATTGTCCGCAAACCTGTCAGAAGTTTCCTTCGGATGCCATCAGTGCCACTAAAACTGTTAAAAGAATACAATTCAACTGAGTGAATTTTTAAGATCATATTGGCTTTATTCAGCCATTCATGAATCAGGCAACATCCCATCTCTCAGAAAGAAAGGAGCTCTGAGGAACTGTACAAAATGAAAGACCTTCATAGGCAGAAGGGAGGTGACAGGGAGGGTACACTAACAAAAAGGGAATTGGTTGTGGCGAGGCCACTTTCCTTCAGAGGGTGGCTGGGGTCTGTCATGGAGGTTAGCTCACAAGTGCTGACCAGGTGATTCCTGATTGAATGGTTTAAGATTTCATTTCTGGAGGGACTGAAACTATAATTAAGTTTTAGTGTGGTGACACGGGGCTTAGCATAAGTGCCGTCATTCTGGGGCTGTGGTCTATTTTTTTTTAACATGTTAAGCTGAAGAGCTGACATACTCCCTGCCTACTCGTCCCCTTGGGTGAAGGGTGTGCATGTGTGTGTGTGTGTGTGCGCTCTCACATGAAGATAATACCAGAGCAGCTCTTTGCAAAGAAACCTTCTACCCAGCGACTTTCAACTCTCTTGACCCCTTTATATCCTCACAGTGTGTTTAAGAGACCAGTTACCTGTTTTTTAATAATATTCTTTGTAAACCTACAAATGACTTAGTATCAACTTTGAAATACAGTATCTGTTAGATCTTAGTACTTCAAAAAAAACTTGCATTTTAGCTGTCATTACACCACAAATGTGGGTAATATCATAAGATTTTCCAATCAACTATCAAAAGCTGTTCTGGTATATATTCAAAAGTGTTTACACATTCATACATGTATCACATGTACAATGTATTCATCATATTTAAAAATATTAAAAATACAAATACATTAAAAATCATAAAAGATGGAATGAAATACATCTAAAATTCATCTTTAGGAAAATCTGTTCTTTATATTTATTTTGCCTACATGTAAATAAAAATATATACAGAAATAGACTCGTTTTCATCAGCCTGTAATACCTATGTTGTCTGCCCCTACCCTTTGTACTTTATATATTGGGGTCATCATTTCCTGTTAGCAATTTTAATTTTAATGTCAGCATGTGCTCTATTTCATGAATAATTTTTCTTGAAATCCTCTATCATTGACTATTTAGGTGGCATTTGTATTTCTATGTAAACTACACTATTGTGAATAAATTATGTGTGTATCATTTATGTTTATTTCTTTAGATATTTTTATACCTCTCATTAACCAAATAATATTGCCTCTTTTGGTGTTCATTTGCATTTTAATAAGTATCAAGCCTTAAGCCAGAGGTATACATTTCTTGAATAGAAATTCAGATATCAGTTAATGAGAAATGGATATATTTGGGGGACATATCATCCCTTTCTGTTCCTTGAGAAGTCCTAGTAATTAGGCAGTTGCCTGTGATTGCCTGCTCATAGATCTGTCTCAAATTATATTTGGTATTCATATGAAAAGCCCTCCTTACTTATTAATATTTTGTCAGATAATCTAAAATCAAGAAATATTTCTGAAAATATCAATTTCCAATGATTCACAGAAATTCTAGATAGTTATGTAAAATTTATTTAAAGTTCTCACAACTGCTAAATTAGGTGAGCAATCTTATTTAGCAGTCTTTTTCTGTAGTACATTGGTTTGTTCTTCTGGATTCTTCCAAAAATTGTTATCAGCCAGAGGATTATGAAATAAACAAGTAGAGAAGAGAAATGAAATGGAAGTGGTGCGTTATATATTTTTTCAAACTTTAGTAACGAGTTTAAGGGAAGTTTGTAGGTTTTAAAAGTACATGTCTTAGGTATTTATTTCATCATGTCATCCCTTATAATTCTGAGGATATGCTGCAAATTTTAGAGAAATACAGTGATGTAGAACTCATATGTTTCCACATTTCTAGGATTGCATGTTATAAGTGTTTTGTATAAGAAAATATCTGCATTATAAATATGTAAGAGTTTTTTAAAAAGGTGGCTTCACCAAGAATGTCAAGCAAAAATTCTACTCTTATCTAACTAACATTTAGTCTCTCAGTTACCTGCACATTTGGTAATACAGTCCTAAACTGCTCTAAGACTAAAAAAGTACACTTTCAGAAAGTGATCTAGACCATTTAATAAAATGTGCAAAGTGGCAGAATGTATTTATTATCAAGGTTCAGAAGTTTTAAAATTAGCCCTAAGTTTTTAAAATGTAACTATCTTTAAAAGTGGTCTAATTACATTTTTCCCTTGGGTAACATTGCGTCTCTATGTGGCGTGCTTAAGAAAATGTAAGTAAACCAACAGCAACAAAAATAAAATTCAAACTATCTCTGTTGTTGAAAAAATGATTAAATAAATCCCCTGTGATATATGCAAAAATAAAAGGTCAAGGCAGCTTTTAAAAATTACCAATTGTGTAATATTTATAAAAGCAGTATTTTACTTAATATTGGATATCACTGGATATGGAACTCCTTGGCATAAACCTTTCATAATACATATTATCGGAGAGAAAAAAGTGATGCTGTGCCTTTAATTTCCCTTTCTGAGAGAGGGAAGGCTGCACACCACTGACAGGCTCACTTGTTCCCGTCTTTAATGTGCAATCTGTTTTCTCCAGCGGAGGGCACTCAGTGTATCACAAACTCAAGCATTAGCACCAACAAGCTCTGAGCATCATCAGTCTCTGGAAAGCCTTCTGAATTAGACAAGGGCTGCCTCTCAGCACAGCTACAAAACACTTTAAACCTGACCAGCTAAATGGATAAACCTAGCCTGCATAGCTTTTAAACTGGGGTCTCATACAGCACAGGAGGCCTACTTGCTTCAAGAACTGAAAATCCAGAGGATGAATTGCTTTATCTGGGAATGGCAAAAGCCAGCACAATAAGGAATGCCAGGTATTCTGAAGATTTTCTCTTTTTTTCCTGTCTTTTTACAGAGAAGTTGGTTACCTTCGAGATGGGCTGTAGCTCTTTTGCACAGATTGCCAATTAGTGCTGATGGGTCTCTGGTGAATTAATTACACAATGGTCCTCAGAGCCTAGAGGCCCTCTCCCCCCCCAACAGCTTCCTTCTCCCTGCCCCCACCTCCCACCCCATGCTGATATTTTTTATATATGTATACATATTTTTTGCCTGTCCTCTCCGGGGAAGTTTGTATGGAGCTACTGGCTCACATGCGGGATCGGAATGGTGTGAATGACAGCCGCACTGTGTCATGAAGGTGGTGGCGGTTTCAGCCCCAGATACCAAATAAGAAGAAAGCTGAGAGAGGGGGGAACTGTTTTTGGATGACAAAGGATGGGTAAGTGAACTTTTGTTGTTTCCTCCTTAGCAAAGCTGATCCTCTTGGCTCCCTATCCTCAGTCGTGGCATTAGCTGATAAAAGACTAAAAGACGGGGAAACAGTCAAAAAGCAGCAGCCTCTGAGTTTGCCAGTCGACTCAGTATAGTTGCTATTATATTTTTAGATCATTTTCCTTTTTGTAGTTTTTCTTTTTTTAATCTGCAAATGCATAAGACGGACTTAAACAGACTCTAGAGAAATCTCTTTAAGACTGTCTCTTCCGTATGCGTATCCACAGCTTGGGAATTGAGCATGAGATAAATACTGTGTTTGCTTCTATTTCGTGATAATATTAACCACGCTGGTATTTCTGCTTGCTGTCAGAAGATTGTTAACACTTCACTGCGTGTGACTAGGGGTGGGGTCCTTACTTTATCAGAGGGCACACAAGGGCTTGTTTTATCTTTGAAGCTGTATCCTGAGCACAGCTTCCAAATTTCCAGCAGTCATTTGCCAGTCTTATTTTTTCAAGTGTGACTGGCTTCCCCCCCCGCACCCCCCCGCCTTCCTCCTGTCTGGGAGAGCTGGAATGTATTTCAATGAGTCTGGAGCTGGCAAGAGGACAGAGAGCAAGATCAGGTTTCAAAATAAAACTTAAACTGATTGAGCAAAAGGAGGAGAGTATTTTTTTAAATTATTATTATGAGTTTGGCTGATAGCCTCTTGGTTAAAAATATGCACGTTTATGATAAATAAGGAAACCGCAGCACACAGTTTTATTTTCCCCCACCGCTAAGAATTCAGAAATCTTTTGACAGAGGAAAGAAGTCCTTTAACATGGTAAGGCTTGGAAATGCAGCACAAGTGCCAACAGATTGCAAGTTTGCAGGTGTTCTGAAGTTGATGGAGGTGGGGGAGAAACAGAAGTCAGGGACATGTGAGCAGGTTGGGATAGGGAAGGAGGGCAGCAGGGTGCTGCTTCTCTCCTTTCTCAAATTCCCAAGAAAACTCCTATGTTAAAAATAACAGCAAAACTCATACTATACAAGGTTAGTTTGCATTTAATTTATATTAATCAACAAGAATTTGACAGTCTTTTCTTTGGAGTGTTCTGTGTTATCACTAGTTAGGGCTGTGAGCTGGTGTATCTCTGGGCAGGAAAGCTTGAGTAGGCATCTCTTCCTGAACGTGGAGGGCATAGATTGCTTATTAACACATTGAGAGTACCTAGCACTGTTATTAGCCTTCATACCATGCTTCATTGGCTGCCTCTACGAGTCCCAATACCATTTTTTCAGAGCTCTTATACTGTTATTCTATTATATAATAAGGATGAAATTTCCGGCAGGGCAAACTTGGGTTACTTTGACAGCTTACTGAAGCTCCTCTGCCAAATCACAGCCTGTATGCTCAACTAGGAAAGATGTGCACGTACAAGATTGACTAAGTCAAGTTTTTGCCATTACCAGAAGACCTAGTACTCTTCCTTTCTGTACTGGTGTTCAGAGCTACTAGCCAAATACTAATGTTATTACAATGTTGGCATTAATTGACAAGACGGGCTCTGTGCTTTTCAGTGTTGACGTACATATGAACTCCTGAAACTCGGGGAGGCTTTGCTTGTTTAGTTCTGCAGCACCGTGGTGATTTGAAAATCAAGGAAGAAAGAATGAAACCTAAATAGCAAGCATGCAACCCTGAAGAAACTAAGGCTTTGAATGTTACATGCATTGTTCTTAAGTTAACTGTCCCATTCCTACACCAGATGAAATGCTCCCGATAGCGGTAAGCGAGGGTGATTTATATTAATAGCTTTACAAATGTGCATTTGTCTTCTTTTTTAATATTGTAGGTTTCCATTTAATTACGCAGCTGAGAGGCATGCGTGTGGTGCTAGTGCTACTCCCTACGCTGCTGCTCGTTATGCTCACGGGGGCTCAGAGAGCTTGCCCAAAGAACTGCAGATGTGATGGCAAAATTGTGTACTGTGAGTCTCATGCTTTCGCAGATATCCCTGAGAATATTTCTGGAGGGTCCCAAGGCTTATCATTAAGGTTCAACAGCATTCAGAAACTCAAATCCAATCAGTTTGCCGGCCTTAACCAGCTTATATGGCTTTATCTTGACCATAATTACATTAGCTCAGTGGATGAAGATGCATTTCAAGGGATCCGTAGACTGAAAGAATTAATTCTAAGCTCCAACAAAATTACCTATCTGCACAATAAGACATTTCACCCGGTTCCCAATCTCCGCAACCTGGACCTCTCCTACAACAAACTTCAGATGTTGCAGTCGGAACAATTTAAAGGCCTTCGGAAACTCATCATTTTGCACTTGAGGTCAAACTCATTAAAGACTGTGCCAATAAGAGTTTTTCAAGACTGTCGAAATCTTGACTTTCTGGATTTGGGTTACAATCGTCTTCGAAGCCTGTCCCGAAATGCTTTTGCCGGCCTCTTGAAATTAAAGGAGCTTCACTTGGAGCACAATCAGTTTTCCAAGATCAACTTCGCTCATTTTCCACGTCTCTTCAACCTGCGCTCAATCTACTTACAGTGGAACAGGATTCGCTCCATTAGCCAAGGCTTGACATGGACTTGGAGTTCCTTGCACAACTTGGATTTATCAGGGAATGACATCCAAGGAATTGAGCCGGGCACATTTAAATGTCTGCCCAATTTGCAAAAATTGAATTTGGATTCAAACAAGCTTACCAACATCTCCCAGGAAACTGTCAATGCATGGATATCATTAATATCCATCACTTTGTCTGGAAATATGTGGGAATGCAGTCGGAGCATTTGTCCTCTATTTTACTGGCTTAAGAATTTCAAAGGAAATAAGGAAAGCACCATGATATGTGCAGGACCTAAGCATATCCAGGGTGAAAAGGTTAGTGATGCAGTGGAAACATATAATATCTGCTCTGAAGTCCAGGTGGTCAACACAGAAAAATCACACCTGGTGCCCCAAACTCCCCAGAAGCCTCTGATTATCCCTAAACCTACAGTCTCCAAATCTGACCCCACACAGCCCATGCTTGCCACACCAAGCCCTTCCACAGGGTTTCAGATTCCTGGCACAGAGCAAGAGTATGAGCATGTTTCATTTCACAAAATTATTGCAGGGAGCGTGGCTCTCTTTCTGTCTGTGGCCATGATCCTCTTGGTGATCTATGTGTCTTGGAAACGCTACCCAGCCAGCATGAAACAACTTCAGCAACACTCTCTTATGAAGAGGCGGCGGAAAAAGACCAGAGAGTCTGAAAGACAAATGAATTCCCCTTTACAGGAGTATTATGTGGACTACAAGCCTACAAACTCTGAGACCGTGGATATATCCGTTAATGGATCTGGGCCCTGCACATATACCATCTCTGGCTCCAGGGAATGTGAGGTATGAACCATGATCCTCCTAAAAGCATTTCTACTGCGGGGAAGGAGAGGTAAATGTTTGAAGCTCTAGAGGTGTCTCTAATCACTAGAGAGATTAATGACCCTTTTGCTTTTGGGTTTTGCTCAGTGTGAAAGGTTACTTAATTAAATTACAACCACCAGGAAATTGACTGTTTTTTCTTTTTTTTTAATGGTTGAAACTTGAAGGAAGTTCATTCAAGGATGAGATTAAGTTGGAATAAAGCACTATGTTAAAACACCTGTTTTTTTTTTTTTAACAGTTTGTATACAGGGGTTGGACTTACAAATACACATAACCTAAAGAAAACTCTTCCTTCTAAAATTTATGTCTGGTTCTTGTTTGACTTTTGTAATGGAGTAAAGAATGAGGGGCCAACTGAATTGAAAAACAGTGATTTTACCAAAATTACAGGAGGTAACGAAGATTTAAACCAAAGAGCAATTTACCCAAGGGTTGATTTTGTTGTAAATTTTTAGTTTTAATTAAAGCATGCAACAGGGATCTCAGAGGGATAACTGTTTCTGTGTTATTTGCCACTTAGTTACTATACCAGCATAGAGAATGTCAGAGGCCTAATGTGTATTTGTATTAGGCTTCTAAAGATGTCTTTCTTTCTTCCTTTCTCCCTCTCTCCTTCTTTCCCTTCATCCTTTTTTCTTTTTTTTTTAATTACTGGACAGAGATCACTTTTTAGAGATTTTCTTAAGTGCTGGCTATTTGTGATCAGAATGAAACAAATATATTTTGGCTTTGTCTCTGCAAACTAAAATCAGGTTATGCTGTTATGGGATGATTTAGCAGTAACATACTGCCAGGACTGTTTGTCAGTGTTGCTGTTATTCCCAAGAGAAATGATGTGTATTCCTGTTACAAAAAACTAACTGATGGAAATATTGATAAATAAACCGAGATTTTAGTTCTGGATATTTTCCCTTTTGTAACATTAGCCTCAAAGGAAGACATTTAATGTAACACCATTTTCATTGTCATGAGAATAAATTTGGACCCAGTTACAGATTATTTAATTTTAAAGAGCACTTACAAGAACTTGTTTATGAGTAGAAAAATAGTTGCAGAGCTCCAAGTTGCCAATAGGTAATACTGGATGCAAATCATTCTTTTCTTAGTAAAGTTGATCAAAAAGTGCAATGCCTGTGACTGTCAAGGATCTGTTGTTGGAACAAACTAGTGAAGAGAGGTTCAGTTCTGGCCCGATGGCATCGTAGTTTCTTATTTTAGATGATTACTTTTTCAAAGGAAAATTTCAGTGAGTATTAAAAGACTTTGCCCTTTTTAAAAAATACTAGTTATAATAGTGGGAAAATATAATTTGCTCTCTGTTAATATCTACCTGAAGTTTCCCATAGTCCTAAATGCATATGCTAATGAAGATGTTTTCAGACACATCACTGAGTTTGACATAATCTCCAACTCAGTGTAATATGGGAATATTGAGCTAGTCCTCACAGAGTTCATTTTTTTTTTCCTTTTTGTATATGGTTGAAAATCAGAAAAGTAATCCCTTAAAAAGTAAATAGAATAAAAGATTTTGTAGAAAAGCCTGCCAAGGTTTGATGTTTCTTTTTTGCAGGCTGACGTTTTATGTAATATACATGAGTATTAGTAAAACAAGTTCATCCTGTTTTGTTCTAGATTCTCCTTATATTTTGAGACCCTCTTAATAGGCTAGTCCTATAAAAATAATAGGAAAATCCTGGTCCATTCACTCATTCATTCTTGACTTTTGTAGTGGAATGGTAATTTTTATTTATAATAATCACCAAGAAAGAAGATTCTTAAAATACTAGGACTTGAGAACAATGGTTCTAAAACTTTGCCAGCGATCTTAAATTCCAGATATTATTCCTTTAGACTATAGGCATCACCATGATAAGAACAAAATAAAAAGATGTCTTATACCATAAAAACATGAGTGTTTCAAACCGCATTTTGATACTGTATGTGTTATGTAGAGTGTAGTTTATGGTCATGAAACTGCAGTGCCACTGTTGGGGATGAAGGAAGTATTAGGCATTAAATAATGGAGAGCTTAATTAAATATTACAGTGAAGTTGGTGAATAGAAATGGCAGCCCTATTCAAGTAGATCAAACTGTCCATGCCCTGAAAAGTGGAAAATTGTAGGCTATGCACTTAAGACCATTAATTCCACTTTCAAGTGTGAGGGTCCAATAAACTACATGTAAATGTATACTAACTTGTTTTGAAACACAAACACACAAAAATAAACATTGCAGCTGCCACTCCCCTTTGTTGACAAGATGTTCAGTGTATTACAGTTAGAGATGGATTTAAGAAATGAAAAAAAGTAAATTCTTAGGAATTAAGAAAACTAATTTTTCCTTACTTTTTTGTCATCTTCAAGTAAAATTTCTCCTGTTGAGAAAACTCCATAAAATAAAGCCAGAAGAAAGGTATGGATTGCTCATTTATAAATTTTTAGATCAGTAAAGATATGCTGAGCTTTAGTCTGGTGTTTTCATAAACCTCACAAATCAGTAACTTAGAGAAATAGAGAACCATTAGTATATTTATAACACAATTTTGTGAGGTAGGTCTTTTTTCGTTCAAAGCTCTAAACTCTATCTAATAAAGCCATAAATATTTCACTAGAAAACTTAGCACCAAATGCTAAATTTCTAAGTAGTGCCTTGAAAAAAATTGCATTAATTTGAAAATTTCAGTTTTACAGCTAATGTTATTTTCAGTTATGATCTAAATGTAGTTAAAGTATTTACTTTGTCTATTTTAAGAACAAAATTAAAATGTTAAGTTTACTGATTAGAATGGTGTCTGAGAGCCACCACACAAATATAGCATGCAATTTATCAAATAAATAGCTGATTTTATTATTTACAAGTTTTAATTTTGAAAAATCCATGTGCATATCCTATGCTTATAAATTGAAAGAGAATATTATTACTTAAGCAGTAAAAATCTCTTATCAATAAAGGAAGAATAGAGTAGATAGTTATGAATAATTAATATGATATGGCACAACTCTAATAGATACATACATCTCAATAGCTATACTTTGGATCATTTTGCTTGTTTTGAACTGAGTTATTTAATTTATCTTCAATATGTGCTCAGAAAAGAGAATTGAAAGCTAAAAGATACAGCTTTGCCTAAAATTTAGTACAGTGTCATTTAAAAGATAAAATTACAAATACTTAACTTTTGAAAATAGTTGTGAAACTTTTCATAGCTTTATCTCATTAAAATATTACAGGAATTATGAAGTTACTTCATTCTGCTTACCAAAATTTTACTTAAAGGTTATATAGAACAAAGTTTTGGATACTAATTCATCTAAGATATGTTTTATCAAGTGAAATAGAAAGGGCCTTTATAAAATTAATCATTATGAGTATAGGACAAAAGAGAACATTTCAGGTTTGTCTTTTGAATTATATAAATGAAATAGAAAGAATCTTAATATGAGTGTAAATAGACTTAAAGGAGATTTTCCACTCAAACTGTTTCAGAAGTTAGGTAATAGAAATATAAAGTTTAATGGTCCCATAATGCTAACAGTACTGCCATTAGGAAAATGGGAATATAGATAACATTAGGTATGTATTTTCCAAATATTTGTTATTTTGGTCACACTTTTTAAAATCAAATGAAATATAACTATATTGGTTGTCAGTTTGGGCTTATATTATTTATTCCACTGTTGTGCAGTGGGTGATATAGACCATTTCTAACAGTTTATATTTATACTTATTTAATGTATTAGGTCAGTCCCAAATTGATGATTTATGGAAGATGATTAACATTTTTCTATACTTTAGAAGTTGACATTTTGAGGTATATTGAATGAATTTCTGAGAACTAAAAAGCATAATACATTCAAAGAGGGTTCTAAGTGAAAGAAGACCAGTATCATTGAGTTTAATTTATACTTTACCAATATAAAGAAAATAAACTTTATTTTGGTGGCTGACTCTGTCATGTTAAAATGTAATTGAAATTACACTTTGTATATTCACATAAGGTATATTTATGTGTGTGTTTGTATCTATGTAAATATGTGTATGCATTCATATACAAAGAGAGAGAATATAAATATATTTCCATTAAAATGTTTGTCCTATTTGAATATTTGAGGTATTAGTGAAAGAAACTTGGGTTATAATTACCAGAATATGTTATTCAGGAACATTATTAAGGTAAATGTTTAATCCTCTCTAAAATTTTAAGTATGTCTGGGTAATCTAGTGTTATTTTTTTAAAAAGCAGAATTAATCTACACATTGCCATTTTTGATGTGACTTTGGCTGAGTCACTTCATTTCTCTGTGACCCATCACTAAAAGAAAGGTATTCAACTAGTGCAATATGTCCCAATTTAAAGTATTCCTCAGATTAGTAAACTTTGTAAGATCTCTGTGCTCTTTCCCAGTTCTACAGAAGTAAGATGGGCTATGGAGGAAAAACTGAAGTATTTATATTCATTTGAATGAGAAAAGAAAGAGTTACTTGAGTTAATAAAAATTGCCTGTCATGCTCAGGTAGCAGCCATACCATTTCTTTATGCTTGAGGAGAAAATAATCTACCCGACATGCACACATGCAAACACTCACACACAAATTTATGTATCTTTTAAATTCTTCTAAGTAAGTAGTTATCTTGAAAGCATTTAAAATATTACTGCTTTTCAAGGATCTATTGTCTGAATTTGCTCCAATTAAAATCTATTTGTGAATAGTTTTCATTAACATCTGTAAATGGTAGTGGTGAAAAGTGACAGCCGCCAAGAAAGCCTGACATGGTTAATTTAGGAAAAATTTTAAACTGATAGGTAAACGTTCAATACCTTTTTCTAGAGTTGACTCATATTAGCATCTTGTGGACAAGGTTTTAATAATTGGTTGCTCTCTAAGGTCCCAAACTGAGACACCTGACTGTGATCTTAAAAATATATAACTCTTGACATACCCTAGGAGTTTTCAG